AGGGCAAAATTTAACACACGTGTAGCATGCTTGAAACTAAAAGCATATTTCTGGCTTCAAGACTTCGTCTGGGAGACATGAGCTACTTCAGAAAAGAAAAAAAACTTATCAAAATGTCGCAATACGATACCTACAAGGTTCGAAACAACAGGGGTATAAAAGGGAATTATAGAGATATAATTTAAAGCAATATCATAATAGACATATTGTTGAATATAGAATATCGAAATTAAAACCTTGCACTGAAGATGGTCACTGGGAAACCATCTAAAGCACACTGGGAAGAAAAAAGTAATCCACTTAAGCGCCACGTTGAAACGGCTTTAAATAAACTTAAAAGTTAGGCGACTTAGAAGAAATATCACACGTAATACTGGAAATTTTTTTAAACCTATTTTAAAACTTCATGCTTTTATTTACAATTATTTCCTCTGCAACGTCTACTTAAACAATTTTGCTGCATAATTTTTACAGGTTTAGAACGATCCCTGAAATGAATTTTGACTGTGCCCAGGACAGGACAGGAAACACTTTGAACCTAGCTGAAGGGAAAATAAAACTGATGTTCGTTTGCTTTGTGATTTTAAAACTTGAAAAGTAAAGACATTAAAAACATGATTTACAACACGCGATCATCATATGTACTGCCTCCATTTCAGTTTGAAAATTGAATTTATTGAAGGTCGTAAAAAATGAACCGGAAACCATATTTATCGGAAATACATCAGTGATTTTTCGAACTCAAATGAAAAAGACATATGATCTACTTGTTCTAATATCTGTCTTATAAAATTACAGTCGAATGAAAGCCTTAATCTTATTGTAGGCAGTTACAAAACTCTATGAATACCAAAGAAACGACACATTGGTTTTGTAAAAGCTAACAGATAATAAAAATGCTATTTCTTTTGTTCCCGTGAGTTGGTCTTTGTATTCACGACAAAACCACCCGATCAACGAGGTTCCTATTTACAAAGGATGCCTATGAAAGATGTCCTTGTTTCGAAAATTACATACTATTCAATACATGATAAGTATCTTCCTATGCAAATTAAAAAAGTTTCTGTACCTAAGTAAGAGAAGAAACGGTTTCTGCGAGCACGTTTAACGCGCGCGGAAACGCGCCGGTTGAATTGGTTTACTTTGTGCTGGCGTGGATACCTCACTTCATCAAAACCTTCTTTAGCCGAACCGTGAAGGAAAATCGTAACCGAATATGTCACTCAGAAAACCATAATTTCGTAGGCGAGATGGAGAAAAATGTCTAATCTAGTGTGTAAACACTGCACTATTCTCTCTCTCATATTTCATATGAATTTTAATTGATTTAATGAACCAGGATCAAACTGATAACTTTTTTTTTCTATTCACTGCATTCTGGCCCATGAAAGTCCAAGTTCCAACAATTTTCCGTTCGCGCCATTCAAAGATGGCTTTCTAAATTTTGAGCCGTGGTCTGTAGCGTTTGTAAGATTAACCTGAGATCAGGCTCCTTTATATGAAATAAATAAAAAAAAACAAAAGGTAACAGAACTACAAAAAGTGTCGCAACGGGATTTAACTCGCTGTTCAAGGCTCAGAGAACCGTTTCTTGAAAGTACCGGTAACCGGTAAACATTAAACAAAATTTGAGAGCAGTAAAGAAAGTCTCATCTCAAAAAACCGTTTTATTCCTTCTATCCTCGCGATTATTGTTATCAATTATTGTGCGAATTTCAAAACTATCGACATCTCTGTCTGCTATGAAAACGCGACCAACAATAGTGAGCTTTTCGGGCAAGTTTTTGACAAACGGGCCCCAGGTTCCCCAGTTATGTGGCCGTTTTTTCCACCAAGGAGCCTGGTTCGGGTTACTTTAGAATTGCGTATTGGACGATATGTGCTTAATTTTACAATTTTTTTTGTACGAGTGCAGTTGTGACTTTGTGGTTGCCAGTGTGAGTAGAGCCCGAGTTAAAGTTCTACTTTCGCCTGTAAGTAACACCTTTTACGCAAGCTATTTTTGCAGCGCGAAAGAAGTCAGAAATCAGACTTTAAGAGTTCAGTGAAGGTTTCAGGCAGATGAGAGAAATCAGTACTCCAAATCAGATCCTGTGCGTCCATGTAACTACATGCTATTCCTCGTGAGCTAAAAAATATGTTTCCTTGTCCCACAGTCGGCACGACGAAAACGATTTCAGTATATCTTTATTCCGCGACCAACTGAAACTCAACATTTTACTATCTTACCTCTTACTCTACTTACTCAAACAAAGCTTACCTAATAACCGATCCCAGCAGCGTGTGGAACATATTGATGGCCAAGCTCACCGCATATCTTTTTTTGCAGCTCAGGAGTTGAGCGTCCGAGCGCGAAACCAGATAAGTTTTAAATAATATATTACGACCATTTTTGCCTTTACTTGAATTCAAATCGACTCAAAATTATTTAGTTCTTTGTGATTTAAACTGAGCAAAAGTTTATATTCTCTTGAACTTTTGTTTCCACAATGCAAAAAACAATAAAGAAAAAAAATAATTATACTTTTCTGAGTGATTTCTTTGAGATGGCTTAGCAAGTCGCTAAGAAGCCTTAATAATTGAAATTACAGATTTTCTGTCTCGCTTTTCCAGTTTTGGTAAGCTGCTGATTCTCCATGTGCAAATTTACACGATCCACGCTCAATAACACAGCCCACGCGCGATGTCAGACGGCACGTGCGAGAACCTCAAAACATTGCGTGTTTGCGTGCCTCAGTCTCTGTGACCCTGTTATAACAGTATGGGTGAGGGTTTTAGCAAATTCGCCAGTACTGAGAAATATTCCGCGCATGTGATGATGCACAAGGAAAAATTCTGGGAAAAAATACTTAATTTTCACAAACTTTTTGTCTATAACATCCATTACAACATTTTTCTGCCAATGAAAACATGTTCAACGAAAAACATTAGAAAACGAAAATGTGAAGCATGTTTTCATTCATTTCATTTTCGAAAACGCGTCATGTGTTTTCAATATTCGATCTATTTTCACAGATTTAATCTCTTTCAACTTGTTTCTAATGGCAAGATCTTTCTGCTGATGTTTACGTCCTTAATACACACCAGCTGGAAAAATCGGTTTATTTACCATCCATAAATGGCAGTTTCACTTAAATCTTCCGAAAAAGAAAAACACTCTGGTAAATTTACATACGATATCAAGTTTGAATTGGAGAAAATTATTCCTGGCGGTTGTGTGAGCGAGGGACAGCTTTGTTCTTTACGCAAGTCGACGAAAATCGGAAATCACCTTTTTTCGGCGCAATAAGCTGATTTAGACGGGTAGAGAACATTTCAATAGATCATTTACCGGCGTCTACAAGAAATTCAAAAAGGTTGTAAATTGACAGCCATTCTCCGTTTTTTTCTCTTTTTAAGACGAGCTATGAACGAAAGCGGCAGGTCCGAATACCATGTAAGCCAACAAAGTTTGGGTCCGAAAAAAACCACGTAAATATGGGCCACTTTGTTACAGACAAAAACAATTATTTGATACAATTCTCCCGCTGTTTATTTCATAAACAAGGTCGCAATTTCTACTCTGATTGGCCAGAGTTATATCAGCGTGTTATTTCACATCGACGCAGTACATAGACAAGCTATTTATTACCGCATAAAGCAACAAAACTCAATTTAATCGCCACATTAATTTCACACGCGAAGTGAGTGCGATTCAAAATTAACAAATAATCCTTAGCATCAGAAAAAAAACTACCTTGGCAGGAAGGAGAGCAGAAAGGACACCAGAATACCGCGATAAAACTCTACTGGAGTTATTAAGCTTTCTTTTCTACATATGAAGTGTGTTCTTTTTATCAAGACATAAAAATGTCATTATTTCGGCAAAAAGGCAAACTGCAACACTGGCGATTTACAAGAAAACGCCATTTAATTAAATTACACCGCGGACACTATGCTGAAAGGCACAAAAAACCCTGAAAACTAAGCCGTTGGAAAATATTGAAAATCCACACTGTTTTTTTTTTTTTTGAGAAAAAAATCAGCAAGAAAATCACATTTGATTTCAACTAGTTTAGAATCACTAAAAGCTTTGAAACAACGCACTTGGCGACTTGTCTTAGGCAATAGAACCACCAGGAGAACGACAAAACGGGTTTTTTTCTTATTACTATCTCACAGGCGTTTCAATGCAGCTGGACAAAACCACGTGTTTTAAAACTGTAGCAAAATAAAAGTTCCATCTTTTTAAAAAAAGCGTTCGACTTAAAAAAAACTTGGACCACGACAAGCAAAAGAAGTTAATACGAAAAACACTCGAATAGCTCTCGCATATCGATTTAAATGCTTTGGTTGAGTTTGAAAATAACCACGAGCCAAGCAATTGGAACTAACAGAAAAGCAGCTGTAGTTACATATATGTAGATCTCCTAGCGCATTTGACCACGGAGTGAAAGAGAACCTTATGAAAGTTTAATTTTAGCAAGCAGTTGACTCAAGTTATTCCATGCTAATGTTTTCCACTCAGAATTAAAAGCGATAAATCTATGGCAACGAAACCTCGCTAAAACCAATGCTAAACTCCGCCAATGCTGAACATTGCTGGAGCTCCGAGCGTTTTGTGGCGCTAGGTAACGTTGTGTCACTGAATGGAATCTCGACTAAAACCATCGTGTTTCTCTTTGAATTTACTGCAACGATCTTATCTAGTCCCAGACCAACACAAAAGCATCGACTTTTTAAAGTAACGTGACGCTTTTGCGATGTTCTTAGAAATTTCGATTCAAGAACGTGAAAAGCGCTTCTAAAAATTTGAAAGAGAGACGAATTTACGGCCATGGAACGAGAAAAAAACATTACACAAAAGTTCATTAAGTATCGTACCAGAAGTTCGGTGGAGCGATAGACTCGATCATGATTGGTTGGCACGCAGAGACATTTAATTGTTAACCGTGCAAACTCGCGCCGCCATTGGACAAAAACACTTGTGTTTATGATCCATTGTCTTATCGGCCGTTACAGGTGAATTGTGCCATTGTAATGTTGGTAATTTATAGTTAGCGCCAGAAAGGAAGCTCTTTCACTCATTCGCTTGTGAGCGAAACAACGGTCGCGCCAAGAGTACGCTACAGGATTTGGAGGTAAAAAATATATCACCGGCGAAATTTTAGAGGTATTTAAGGCCATAAATTCGTAAACAATTAATTTTCTAAGCGTGAACCTACTTAAAAGCGACAGTATCGTGGGATGTAGCTGGTCTTAGCTTATTTACGACTGCTTATTTCCTAGGACTGCTATAAGCCCCTGCAGATTTACGCAAAATGTTCAGCAACGAGAGTACGGACGAGAAACAATTGCAAGACTTCAGAAGTCGTGAAATGAGAAGTCGTGTACGAAATTACAAAAAACAGATGAAGACGCTGGAATATTCACGGCTTCGTTCGCTGGTTCCTTCTACAGCCTGCCGGCCTCGTGTCAGCAAGGTACGAAACTTTTATGTCAGGCCTAGATTGCTAGCTTCTATCACTCATAAAAAAAATTTAAAGACCAACTCACTGTTAAAACTTATTTTTTTTTAGATTGAAGTAATAGAGGAGGCGATCAAGTACATCGCGTTTCTCCAAGCTACTCTGAGCTCTCGCTTGGAAGAAACCAACGAAAGTAAGTTTGAAAGTGAAAAACCGCCGGAAATCCATCGCATTGAATCGTGCGCACATTTTAAACTTGAGTGATTTTTTTCTCTCGCAGACAGTAACAGTCAAGGGGCAGAAGAGCGGACAGAGAGCGAAAGAAAACCGAAAATTCTCAGGCAAAAAAGACAGCGTTTCGCTTCATATATGATTAAAACCCAAAAACACACCGTACCAGCGCGACGAAAATTTTCAAGTAAGTCTGCAGAAATCTGTGTTTTTCTTTCCGTTGTTTGAGAAGTTGAAACCTGGGGACTTTGCGCGTGCTTACAGCGCGTTTGGGCCGAGGATTTGCGCATTCGAAACTAAAATTTCGAGGATAAAAATTGGGTGATTCGTTTTCTTCATCCGGTAGTTGGGTTGGAAAATGCAGCTGCACATAAAAACAACATATGTCCCTTTGAGGCTCACAGCACCTGGCATTTGCTACAAAATAAAGTTCCCTTGCGTTTTAAATAAATCGCTCCAAATTCTACCAAAAAGATCCTAGCTTAAAAGCTAGCTCAAAATCTACGCTTTGAAAAATGTTTCCTCAGTTTCCTTGAATTTCAAGGTAAATTTAGACAAGTTCACTGCCGTCTCTAAGTAACCAATTCTGGCTAAGGACGTATTCCAACCCTCGAACATGGAAATAAATATTCCAATATTATATTATAACCTTTCAACTTATTAAAATAAAATCTACAATTTACATATCACTTCGAAAGGAAATTACGGCCTGTCTAGTGAATTTTCTCCAACGCAGCTACGGGGTTGAAATAAAAATTCCCAACCCGCACGTGAGGGATTTTTTAAGGGGGTATCAACTTTGCCAATGAAAAGAAACGAAGAATAATGCAATTAAGATTCAGCAGCACCCTGGGAAAATTTAGAGAGTACAAAATATTAATACGCTCATTTATTACACATTATCTTGTCTGAAGAGTAAACAATTTCTTGCTATTAAAAATGCGACATTAGAAAGCTTTTATCTATTTTAAAAATGTCTCTTTCTTTTAATTTTTTTCAGGACAAAAGACAACAGAAAGCGAACAGCCAAGATAGAAGAGCCATTGTGTGTAACAACGGTGGAAAATCGAGTACGCAAGAATAAAACTGGAAGTTATATAATAAAAGCTGCTCGCTTGAGATGGAACATTTTTTCCCAGCGCTGTGCAGCTCACTTCAGTGCTGATGTACTGATTGGTTTTGAATTTAATTGTAGCATTTGCGTAGCTAAACCTCAAATTTAAATACATCGTGCGAAGATGCAGGGCCGAAAGTCACTGTTATGGAAGTAAGCGCCGAAAAGTACAAAACACGTTAGGGAAAAAACTGTTGAAGTTTATGCTTGTAAAACGAAAACCAGGAAAAAAAGATTTTTAGTATCCCTAAATCTAATAACTTCCTAAGACTTCCTTTTCAGAAGAGCTCTGAAAAAACCTTCAGAAAATTTTTCTTTCGATTAGTTTTCTACGTAAATGCAAATGAAAGGAAACTGAAACAGACCGTCACGTGGTGAAATTTTTTTTCGTGTGTGTCACAACGGTGTGTGTGAATGTGTCAAAAGTTTTGCTAAAAGCTGACACCGACAATCATTTCACATAAGCTTGCTGTTTTTTAGTTTTGATTACGGTCTCAAGAACTTATCAATGATCACTTCTGGTCCATCTTCCACAAGCTGAAAAAAAAAAATTCAAACTTCTGTTCCGCAACTAGCTCAAGTGGGTTACAATTTTGCTTTCCGAAAGGAAGTCTTAAGAACGGCCAATGCACGCTGAAACATTAAAACACATCATTCATTAGCTGGAAAATTCTCCTGTTATAATTTTATTTAAGAAGGAAGAGGGAGGGAAAATAACAAAGACGAAACATTCGAGATGGTTGTTCAGTCAGTTTTTCCCCTTTTCCTTTTAAAACAAACGGAACTCGAAACACTGCAGCGGAACTAATGTATTTATAGCTATCTAAGGCAAAGACATAATAAAATCTTTGAGGCATAACGAAAAGAGCGTTGTCAATGTTATATGCTGACCTAACAAAGAGCTTGCGTATCATTAACTTACTTTTTCCTTTCCACGAGGTCTTCGCAGTAAGAATGATTTCTTTTTCGGTTTATTACGTCGATTTATTACCGTTTTGATTTTATGAGTTTCTAGTTTCGAGGTTTCCCTTTTTCGGCGTTTTAGTATTAAAATAAACTCACCACAAGCCAGGCCTCTGCAATTTTTTAAAGAGACATCAAACTTCTCGACTCAAAACGAAAAACTCACCAGATTTATAAAATTCACTGAGTTAAGATCAAAACAATACAAAGGTCTTCAAACGATCAGTAGGACAGACATCTCCGTTCTCTCCGTTTAAGACGAAGTCAATTTTCTCGAGAAAAAATATCGTAAGTGTTGATAAAAACGCGTTAACATCGCAAAAAGCGGGTGTTCAAACCAAGCCGATTTTTTCAGAACGATGGTGCGCTCGTGTTTATAAACGCGTTTAAACCGCAATTCTAATCGCGAGTGAACACGACAACACGTTTTGAGCCGCCGGTTTACAAGAAGAAAACGCCAATGCGCGATAATTTGCAGAGAAACATGCGGGAATAACACATGATCATGATACCAATCTAATTCTTGTTAATAAGTACATGAGAAAGAGGAACTTCGTCGTGTAAAGAACCTCTTTAAAAATCATTCAGAACCAGAACAAATACCAGGCGCAGAAAACGAACACAACTGAACAGTCTTTGACCAAAATTTTATTTTAGAAGCCACAATTACCTTTCCTTGGAGGAGCACTTCTGAACGAAGCTTAAACTATTTGTTGCAGTAAACGATAGGAAAGTAACTAAAAAGTCAACGAAGTTGTAAACCCCATCAACTGCAGACTTTGGTTTCGACTCCACTTCTCAGATTCTCCAGAATGTAATCAGATTCACAGTCACGTGATAATCTTCCTGTCACAGGTATGTTTCGTTTTTGATTCATTACCAGACTTCCTCATCCACCGCCTGGAAAATTCCGGTCTTCACTCACTTGAACCTCTGGACAATGACGGCATTTAAGAGATTTGCTTCAGAGAGTTTCTGCGTTTCATCCGATAGCTCTTTGTTAGGGAACGTCGTCATAAGAACAAAGCTCTGCGTTGCCATTTGAGGCCTTGATCTGTGTATCAGGCGTGTTTGGTTAAGGAAAATTAACCCTTTCACTCCCAAGATCTCATAAGTAATTCTCCTTACTGTCTGCCATACAATTCTTAGTTCGGAGAATTTGGTATCGAATCAACAAATAATCCCCTGATTGATATTTTTCTTCATTTGCATCATTTGTTTACTTAGCATCATATCATTTTGATATTGTAAGGAGAAATTCTGTCTTGGTCACTCATGGAAGTTAAAGGATTATTTCTTTGACTCTCAAGGGCGATCAGTGTCTCTCAAAGATCCCGTTACTACATCAAGAAACGAGAAAAAAGGGGATGAGAGACCTTAAGTCACTATATTACAAGGAGTCATACAGCAATCTACAACACGACGCTGCTGCTAAACTAGCCTGAGAACTCTTTGTTTGAATCTCGAAATTCAAGCTCTGAACAGACTGGCGGATTATCAGTCGCAAAGTTTGACAAAATCCAACTGCGGCCTAGAAGATCTGGCTACGATTTGTAAAGTCTGTTGACTCAAAAGTTGTTTTCTTATCTGTGCGATCACGTGGTTGTCGCTCATTTTTGGAAAAGAAGAAATCTAGCAGGCATCAACGTGTCCATAAAGAGATAAAAGCGCCTTCTTTTTTAACGTTATAACAAATAATTATATTCTCTCCAGATTACACAAAGTGATGCGGAGAAATACGTATTGAGAATAAAGAGAATTCTCGACTGGGGAGTATCGAATTAATTTTTACCAAAATTTTCAGGAACAGATACGCGTAACCATTTAGTAGATCTTATAATGTTATAGTATATTCTTGACCAAAGGATACGCACAGATAAACTTCCGAATATCTCCAACTGTATGTGAGTGGTTGAATTTTGAGACCATACTACAAAAGAAAACATTTCCGTCAGAAATTTTACACCGTAGCTTAAAGTAATCTTTGATTAGTCATTGTGTGTGTGGTAAGCGAATGTGGTCATATTAGAAGGTCAAATCAGATTTTGAAAACCAGAGTATGTTCCTCAAGGAAATGTTATTTCGTTACAACTGCGAAGGAACTGGAACTGAGAAAAAATTTAAAACCGACCTACACAAAGGAAAATGGGGGTAGATGAATCAACAAATAATCCTATTATGGCGGAGAAGGAAAATTAGAGGCCAGAATGCGAAATGGCAGGAAATGAGTTGAATTGACGATCGCGTTTCTAATGCCAAGAAACAAGTGGAAATTACGGCTACGCCGAAAATGGAGGAAGAAGTGGAAACAAACACGTGGCCTGCATGACAAGAGTGCGGAAAGGGAGGGGGGGCGGCGAAGGGGAGTGGGGTCAAATAAAAGATTCACAGATCAGTCCATTGCTTTTATGCCGCTTTAGCATTACTTGGAAATCACTGATAAAATTAGGAAAAGAACACTTTTCTGTCAGCGGAACCGGTGATAAGCCTTCTCTCCGAACGTCCATATAATCGGTTTCGTTTACTTTGCCTCGCATTCTTTTGAGACAACATTGCTGCGAAAGTTAACCACAATTACTAGGAGAAGCCTGTTGTAAATGTTGACATGATTCCGACAATTTTCGTAGATCACCGAATAGGCTCGACTATTCCAACAACCTCTGGTCATAAGGAAAAAACAAAGTGTAACATATTTTCACATACCGCGTTCCATCAGCCAATCTAATCTGTATGCTGGTTACCGGCTGTGATTGGTCCAGTGGACTTGTTGCCATTGGTTGTGGTGTGCTGGAGGAAGACTGGGAGGCACGTTGTTCTGTTGAATGACTGGACTTCACGTCTGGAGCCGGGCTGAAAGATAAAAAATAACAAAGAACAATCATTAGTGCAAGAATTTGCCGGTGTGGAAGTGGTAAAAATCGGAAGGATCAAACGAGGATGAAGAAACTAACGAGGCACTAGACGAAAATAAGATACAGATTGTGATCAAGAGAACAAAACGGACCAAAGAAGGAACAAAAGACGAGGAAATGAAAGAGCGAAAGAAGGAGGCCAACATCTGAAACAACGGAACGGAAAAAAAAGGCAAACAACTCAAATAATACGAGGAATTCTTACACGTAAGTGAGTAAAAAGTCCTCGCACAAAACACAGTTGAACTATGAATGATAGCCAAACTGCTTGAAGAGCTAAAGTGAACTGGGAAGAAGACACCAACCTGCCTAATTTGTGCCCTGTTCCTGAGAATGCTTGGAGTTTAGGTTTGGGTGGAGGGACATACTCTTCATGTCTGTGATCTTCCATATTAACGTGCACTTCTCCTTTTCGGGACAATCTTAATAACTCCTGTGGAATTTCGCTGTGAACAGGACGCATGAAATATGTCTTTAAGTCATTAAATTCAAAAGAGCCTTTGGATCTTAAATATAATCTAAACCGTGACTCTTGGTGTCCTAATTCTTTACTAGCATATTCACAGTGGTGAATATGCTAGTAAAGAATTGTTTTTTCGCGATACAGTCTCTTCTAAATGGATGGCGGCGCTCGACTGCGTCCTAATGGTCTCGTTTGCAGAGTACAGCTCATGTGTTTTACCCGCGCTTGACGCGCGCGCCGCTCCCACGCACTAGACGCGAGAAACACTCACACGCACACTACACGCATCTGCGTGTACGTGTATCAGAAAAATGCACGCAAGAATGTGTAAAATGCGGGTAAATTACACGAAATCAGTCAATTAGAACTCCTTTAATGCGATTACTGAAACAAACGTGCGCGTACAAAGAAAAAAATTGGATCTTAATTCGTCATAATATAAGATTTCCGACGAGAATAAGCGAGTCAGTGCACTTTAGTGGGTTCCTTCCAAATTGAAAATGATTGTATTTTCGTACCCTCGTCTGACAGAATCCAGGAACTGCTTGTTAGCTGGATCATCAAACGACCTCAGAGGTCCGTCATCCACTGAAAATCCATTAGACCAGAACTTTAAAGCGACTTCTGTCTACAAAGGATTGTACAACATTGTGAAACAACTCTGCGAGTATATATCAGTACAAAAAGAGGACAAAAGTTGATTTCTCATAGAAAACGTGGGCCAGCAAAATGAGTTTTTAGTGTTTGAGAATGTCATTTTAATTTTAATGAAATAAATTTCATTTAATCTATGGATGGACGTCGAGTGTAGCCAAGATCCTTGCAAATGAGCTACCTTTTGACATTTGCAACACAGTTTAGTTGCTATTGTCATTAAGGAGCGGTAGCCAGTGAAAGGAGGTTGCATACGTGAAATTTAAAACTATCAGCTGAGACAAAAAGCAAGGGGCTGTTAAGAATAAGTGTACATAATAGAGAGATGGTTGTCAGTGCAGGTTCCACACTGATTAGTAAATTTATAATTACAAGTTTGTTGATGATGTCTTACAGGTTGTTGTGGTGCATCTGCCCTGAATGATAGTGTTTCAGGGAGGGGCTGTGAACTGTCCCCTTCTGTATCTCCAAGACGGTAACCTGCAACAAGATCAGAACCAACCATCATCAGAAGAAGGGGTAAGTCTAATACAATCAAACATCAGGCTGAATTAGTTATGATTAAGGCAGGAAGTGCCTTTGTTCTGAGGTAGAGATAAATTTTTGGGAAAAAAAAGAATTCAGTGTTTCATCTTCTCACAATAAATTATTGTTGTCTTTGTTGGATAGGGAAAAAAATTCCACCTGGAGAAAGGGGGATGCCCTTAACCTCTCCATTCACCCTTTTTTTTCCTGGAAAGTATTTTTGTTTCTTTGTAAATCAGAACAAAATGAAAACCATTGACACAGCCAAAATTACCTTAACTACCAAATGACACATTTTACCTTGTCAATAAAAATTGATATTCATGCACACTCAACA